CATGCTTCGGGCATGTGTGTTGGACTTCGGAGGGAGCTGGGACACCTATCTACCTTTAGCAGAGTTCTTGTATAACAATAGCCATCATTCGAGCATTGGTATGCCGCCCTTTGAGCTGTTGTATGGGTGGAGGTGTCGCACCCCCATCTGTTGGGGTGAGGTGGGACAGCAGGTTATGGGTAGCACGGAGATCGTGCTTCAGACGATAGAGCAAATTCAGATGGTCAGGCAGAGGTTGTTGACCGCTCAGAGCCGACAGAATAGTTATGCAGATAGACGACGGTCCGAGCTTGAGTTTCAAGTTGGTGATCTCATACTCCTGAAGGTCTCTCCTTGGAAAGGAGTGATTCGGTTCAGGAAGAGGGGCAAGTTGGGGCCCCAATATATATTGGTCCCTTCCGTGTGATCGTGAGGGTGGGCCGGGTAGCCTACCGTTTAGACTTGCCAGCAGAGTTGCGGCAGATTCACGACACTTTCCATGTGTCGCAGTTGAGGAAGTGTATAGCCGACGAATCGGTGGTGGTTCCATTAGGGGATATTCAGGTGGATGCAAGCCTGAATTATGCTGAAAGACCTGTAGCCATCCGAGATCGGAAGATCAAGGTTTTGAGGAACAAGGAGGTACCCCCGGTATTGGTTCAGTGGCAGCACCGGAAGGGATCAGAGATGACCTGGGAGCCGGAACGTGAGATGCGGGAGTAGCATTCAGAGCTATTTGCCTAGCGGGACTTTGAGGGCGAAGTCTTATTCTAGTGGGGGAGAATTGTAACAGCCCGGATACCCAGGTACCTTCATTTTTCATATTTTTGATTTTCTGTGAGGGGACTCGGCGAGTTGGAGGTCGAACTCACCGAGTCGGGTCACGGTTTTGGGCGGAGGTTAGCGTCCGGACTCGGCGAGTCCAAGGGATGGACTCGGCGAGTCCGCGATGTTTAATGAAACCCTAATTTCCCGGTCCTAAGCCCTGTTTAAAGGACCTTATGGCCTTCATTTGCGGCCACCTTGAATCCTAAGAGCACCCATACAACTGTGAGCCCTTGTGAGTGTGTTTGGAGGCCATTTGTTCATCATTTTGTGTGTTATTGCAAGAAAGGAGGGAGAGGATCAAGCTTGAAGAGTTGGGGAGCTTGGATCTGTTGCTATTTCATCAAGGGAGCCTTCTTGAGGTAACTTTCAGAGCCAAACATCGTATTTTGGGTTGATGTGTCAAATCTAGGGTTTCTTCTTGCATTTCTTGGCTTAAATTAGAAGTATGAAAGGTCCCATGGAGATATGGAACCTAGATCTAGACCTTAGCAGGTCCAGGAGACCCCATATGACAAGCTTTATGTCCATTCTTTTGAGTTAGAAGCTAGGGTTGCCATATTAGAGGTTGTTTCTCCAAAATAAGCCTTGTATGCATTGCACGACGACCAAGACTGGGACTTTACGTGATGAATAAGCTTGGGAAGGCCAGATCTATGTGTGTATGGAATGGATCTGACCGCAAAATCCAGTTTTAGCTGGTGCATGGCATGGACTCGCCGAGTCTGAAGAACAGACTCGACGAGTCGCTTGAAGATTGTCCTTGAGACCACCCAGTGTGTAATCCTGACCGAGTTGTGGGTGACTCAGTGAGTCGCAGAGAGTTGGAAAGGTTTTGACAGGTGGACCGAGTCAAGTTGGGACTCGCTGAGTTGTCCTTGCGACTCGGCGAGTTGAGTCGCGGTGGCCCCATGATTCAGGCCCAGGTGGAACTCGTCGAGTCGGGGGAGTACTCGACGAGTCAAAGGGAAAATCTTAGAGAGTTGGTTAAAACGTGTAGACTCACCGAGTCATTATAGTGCACTCGCCGAGTCCGGTCCAAATTGACCAAAGACTGTTGAGCAAGTCAACCTGTGTTGACTTTATATGGATGGTCAATCTTAGTGGTACAAGTAATAATTATAGATTCATGATATCATAGGAGGATTACAGCTCGAGGGTTCGAGTACGAGTGATTCCAGGATTCACGGTTTGCGACTTAGCGAGGCATACGAGGTGAGTCTTCTCACTATACTGTACCCGGAAGGGATTTGACTGTGTGACCGGAAGGTCGAATATGATATGAGATATATGCCTTATGTGTGTTACGTTATTCGTTATATGTGCCATGTATGATATGCTTGATTTGGGCCGGAAGGCAACATGTTATGGGCCGGAAGGTTTACCCAGTCGGGACGGAAGTCCCCTGAGACACATGGACCGGAAGGTCAAGGCCTGGAAAGGCGTACGTGCGTAGGTTGTATTTTGGGGAACTCACTAAGGATTTATGCTTACAGTTGTTGTGTTATGTGTTTCAGGTACTAGCGAGGACCGTGGGAAGGCGCCGGCGTGATCGTACACACACTCGGGGAAACCATTTTGTGATCTTTTGTTATGTAATCGTTTGTGACTAAATTGTTACATTGGAACCTAAACTTATTATTCATGTTTTGATGATTGTAAAAATGAAAAATTTTTGGTTTGGAATTTTATGACGTTACAGTTTCTTTCAAAAACTGAAAAATTCAAAAATATTTTTGTTTCGTTAATATTTTCTTGTGCAGATTTTAGCGAAGATTTTTGTTGGTTCATGCTTGCTACTTGAGGGGCAGGTGAAGTTTTTAAACTTTGTACTGATTAGGATGTCCCTAAAAGAAGGTTGTAGCATGTTGACTCTAGCATCCATGATTCAATGTGTTTTCGAAAACCTTAATGGATTTTTCATTACGAAAATTCCTTCCCAATTAGGTTGTGTTGTAATTAGTCTCTAAGCTACCTTACTCTTCTCACATGAGTTAAGAGTTTTCTGCTTGGTCCAATATAGCAGAGGTACTTTCGAATCCTAAACCACTCTTTTTATCCTAAGATTCTTTCACATTCACATACAATGACATATGTCCAAGACATCTCTGGTATTAACCAATTAGGATTTAGACATATCAAACATTTGTGTTTATGATCTAGATTCATGAGACCGTGATGAAAGTGAAACCCAAAATATCGAAATATTCAAAGAATTGACGAGGAACTTTGTTCTAGATTTTAACAAAACATTTATTTCAGTACCTACTTTCGATACTCCAAATCATATTCTTTCGTTTTGCATGATCTTGATCAAATGTTCGAAACCCATGACTTTTGTTACCCAACAAGATCCAGTTATAATTTTTATTGTCGAATATCATTTTAGTGCGAGTATCATTCTAAATCTTCGTTACTTGATAAATTTTTCCAAAGCTTACTTGTCATTGACTACACTGGTCAGACATATATTTTCATTAACAAATTGAATCTCTTATGGTTAGATGTGTTTTGTAATGAAATTTTTACCCACCCACATATCCTGATAAAAGAAGCCCATTGATACTTGTCTACAAGTATTTGATTGTAATTCATGGAAAACCGCACAAGCTGTTAGTCATCGCTCTTGGTGAATAATGAAGCAATCTTTGCCCAGGATCATACAACTTTTATGTCGAAATATTTTTGACATCACAGAATCCAAAATTTTTGTCTCTTGATTCTTATCTTTTTCTTTGGAACACTTTTCACTCACGGAATCCTTGAGGTTATGAGTAATACCAACTCAGGCTGATGATTTCGAAAGTTTGGCACATCACTTCGCTTTTTAACCTAAAAGTGAAAGAGCCCAACCTACATATCGAAGGTTACTGGCGGTTCTCATTCCATCGAGGAAAACAAAATGATTGACAAATGTGACGTTTTGAGTTCTTTTCCCGTTTTTAAGGAAAAACTACGCATCAATTTTTCACGCGTGGCTAATTTTCCAGCAATTGGAACGATTTTCAAGGAGCCATGTTAGCCTCATTTAATGCCAAAAACTGCTTCAAATACAAATTCATGTTACATATAAAAACAGGTGTAGGGGTTCATTCCAATTTTACGCATTCTGCAAATCCCCAAATCAAAAGAACTCTCTTTCTTCTTCACCGATTCCTCAAACCCTAAACATAGCTGCCACAAATGTTCATGTTGATCCATCACAAACCACTGATAACATCACATTGCAACTAATGATAAAGATTTAAAGAGAAAACATTCAAGTTCAAGCTGATGTTTCTGATTATCCTGAGGAGTTGAAGATGCTCATTGTTCCTCTTCAAAATTCTTTGTTATCTAAGGCGATATTTGGTTCTTTTTCTGTCCTAGTATCATGGTTGTCTCTTGTTGGTTCCACCGTTACTTATAACAAAATGATGAAAGCCATCACTTTTCAAATGATGAATGACAAGAAGTTTTGTTTGTCAAAGAAGACATTTCCTCAGTTTCTCAGTATTCCTAATGTTGAACCATTCTACAAGGTAACAAATGAACAAATCGTTTGTATCTTCAATGATATGGGTTAGCAACCTACTCTTACTAACATCAATGAGTTTAAGAAGTCTAGATTACCTTGTATGTGGAATTTTTTTCATTGGGATCTATCTTTGCTGCTTAACTGGAAGAACATTAGGGTTGGATAAAGGATGATTGGAGGTTTATGCAATGGTAGCAGGATTATACTACGATCTGTTGGCGGAATATGCAACTCAACTTATGAATGAGTTTGTGAAAAGTGTCGGAAGCACGAATGCAGTCGATGTGATTTCATGTGCTCGTTACCAGAGCTTAATTCTACAATTTATGTATGATAAGGACGGTATTTTGGTTCCAGGCTGAAGAAACTACTACATTTTTGGTGTTTCATCAGCCAGAATTCCAGACGCTATACTTCGCAAGGTTGATCCATCTCACCCTGTTTGGTGTGCTACTTGAAGACAATCAATCATGATATCGAAACTAGTGATTTGTTAACTATAAACACTAGTCCATCGAAGAAGAAGAAGAAGAAGAAGAAGGGGTCTAATAAATTTACAAAGGAAACTCCATCAATCACACAACTTGAGCAAGTTGCGAAAGTTGTTAAGGCTTCTACATAGAAGGTGAACACTGAGCAACTTCCGATTGTTGCTTCTAAACTAGTTTCAAAGCCTGTAATGGAAGTCATACCTTCGAAATATGGTGTGTTAAAGAAGTTGAAAAAGATGGCTCATAAACCTCGACGTTCTCCTGATAGATTAGAAAGTTTTTCACCAACTTTTAAAGTCAAGCCTCAAGTAAGTCGAAAAGAGGTTTTGTTTCGAGATGTCCAAGTACCTGTTTCTCCAGATTCGAAGAAATGGAGGGCATAAGACAAGGGTAAACATCTTTCCAAAAGACAACAGAAGAAGCTAAGGAAGCTAGTGATTCATGATGATTCAACGGATGACAAAGTTGTTCCTGAGTCTCCAATTCAAGATGATCAAATGGTCCATTCTTCATTTGTGAGGGAGTCTCCACTCAATTTGAATCTCGAGGTGACTGGAAATCATGATGGCTCTGTGGAAACTTCTAAAGTAGGCACACCAATCATTCAAGGGGAACAAACAAAGAAGTCTACTCCTGAGAAGACTAAAGTCATACCACCCGGGGTGTCGAATTCCGAATCATTTCATGTGAAGGTTCACACTTTAGGCATCACTTTTAATATATGTAATATGGAAGCAAATGTCACCATGGGTGACAGGGTATCGAATACAACTACCCAGGGTAATGCTTCTCTTGTTGTATCATCTACCTTTGAAACACCACTTGTTGATACTACAATTTCTTTACCATCATTTATTATTCCTACTTCAACCAAATCACCTCCATCAACTCATTCACCTACATTTGATAATATCATGCAACAACCCATTACTTCCTTATTCCCATCACAATCCACAGAAGTTCCCAAAACAGTAAATGATGATGAATTTGATGATGGTAGGTTCGTGGGTTCGTTTGTTGATATAGAGTCTGATCCCGATGAGGAGGACATTCCCGATCACATTTTGATGTCTGGGAAGCAATTCAAGATTCCTAATTGGAAGTATAATTCGTTGCTACAATTACAAGAAGATGGTGGTGGTAAACATTCAGTTTCAGGTAACAAGGTAGATGTTATGTTGAAAGCTCAAGAGCATCAAATTCAGGACAATATTGATCAAATTGACAAGAATATTGAGTTAAGGATCAAAGATCAATCTAAGACTTTTAATGGAGCCCTTAGAGCTTTGAAGGACGATATGAAGGAAACACATCTTTTGTATGTTCAAGATGTCAAGACTATTCATGAGAATGTCGATCTAAAAATTCAAGAGTTAAGGGATGACATGAAGAAGGAAATCATTGTTCTAACTCACAATTATTCTAACCTTCATACGAAGGTTGATATAATTTTTGATGCTATCACGAAAGCTATTGCATGGTATAATTCTTTGATTCCCAAGTTTGAAAAGAAGGTTGAAGTTGATGTTGCCAGTTTTTGTGATATTGCGAAGTTGCTAGGTGAGTTAAAGGATCTCATGTCAAAGTTTTGGATCTTCGACATCTTCTATTTTTACTCCCGAGTTCTTAACTCAAAAGATTACCTTGCTCGAGTCAATAATTCACAAAGAGTTAGCTCCGCTTGCAAAACTTCTTCGATTGATGCCAACGGGTGCCCGACTTGTTGTTACATTGGTACAATGGGGAGAAAGAAGGCATGTTGTCATTACTAAATGTGAAGGGGATTCTGGCTGTCACACCCCCGAAACATAAAAAAAAAAAACAACAACAACAACAACGGCGGAAACGCCCGGTGGCGGCGACGTCATACCTAGTATCACAACAATCGTATCAGAGCAATCAAAGTAAACACAACCATTACATTACAATATGATTATTTACATTTGTTTGAAAACATAGTTTGTACATAACATTATATAACAAAAGATAAAGAAGAGACTCCAAAATGCTCCGTCTTCCTTAAAAGCTGGCTAGGTACCTGTCTATCGTTGTCCTGAGAATACAAGCGGTTTTGAAAACATATCACCATAAAGCTGGTGAGTTCAGAAGCATGATTTTGTACTGAAAACTAATCACATGGTTTATATATATAGTTTCTTTCCATTATAAGTAAATATCGTTTGTATCGAAAACCATTGTTATCATGTTTAGAAATACATGTGCATGTTTTCCAAGAAAATCCAATATTTTCTCACATGTTTGTTGGTTCTTGCATGAAAAGTACATTCTGTTTGAAGACCCTGGGTACCACTAGTACGTAATGTATGATCGTTTGGAAACCCTAGTTATCACCAGTATGTAATGTATGATCGTTTGGAAAACCTGGTTACCACCAGTATATATAGTAGTTTTATTACTTAAAATAAAACTATAGATTTTGTCCCTAGAATACCCTCCAGTAACTAGATAAGTAGTTTTATTACTTAAAATAAAACTATAGAAGAAAGGGATCCTGTAAACAATGATTCGTTTATAATTATTGGGAGTCATATAACCATACTAATTTGACCTGTGATCTGACAACCCGTAATTTATTTCGTCACTATAAACCGTTCCCGGTAAATAAAACCGTTCGTATTCAAATTTTCCGTTAACCTTACAGTTAAATTAAATTATCACGACTTTTAATTCGATTTCATAAGTGTCGGTATGCATTAAAAACATTAAAATATTTTCCATATTTATTTGGAAAATTATTAGTTTCATTTACGTCGTGATTACGGCAATTTATCGGGTACGACAAAAAGCACCGTCTAACGGCAGTATCGGGTAGAATTCCACCGGGCCATAAACTCAACCCCTATATAAGGGAGTGAGTGACATCATTTTGAAGCTTTTTCTCTCTCTCTAAACACTTTCTCTCACTACTCTCTCTCTAGAACTCGAACTTCATCCAAAAACCCCATACCAAGCTTCAATTTGGTAAGTACTTCATCCTAGCTTGTTGTTTAACTTGTTTGGCATGCAAATTCATGTTTGAAACTTCCAAAAACACCCAAGAATAAGTGTTTACGGCCTAGGGAACCTCCCAAAACCGTGAACACCCCTTAAGAGGGTTTTGAAGCCCTAAAACCACTCCAAACCAGTTCTAGTGCTTAGATATGGCTTAGAAACTTGCATGCATGAACTTAGGACCCCAAATTCATACCATTTGAGTATTGGACATGAGTTTATGGTCCAAGAACATGCTTGGGTCATAAACGCACATGATGGACCATAAACTCATTTTAAAGTGTCAAAATGCCCCTAAACACTTCTAAATGCTTCCATGAGAGTGTAAAACCTAATAATCCTTCAAGTGATGCACCAAAACATATGTAAATGGATCAAACTTGAGTTTACGGTCCAAGAACATTCTTAGACCAGAAACTCATTTACTTGGACCATAAACCCATATTCTTTGACCATAAACTCTTCAAATGGGTCTTAAAGTGCCTTTAACACCTTGTATGGCTTGGAATTGAACCTAGAACTTTGTATGCTTAACCTTCAACCACAAAAACGCATGATTCATGGATAAACATGAGTTTAAGGTATTAAACTCATGTGTTTAAGGTTGTAAACTCCCCAAGAGCATCTTCATAAACCGTAAACAACTTTTCCAAGGCTCTTTCAATTCCCAATCACTTCCTAAGCCATAGAATCAACCCTAGAACTTTCCTTTGTGCATTGTAAGACCATTTAGCATCCAAGAACACACCACCCATGAGTTTATGGACGTAAACTCATGGTAATATGGTCATAGGACCGTAAACCCTCTTATTAGTTTACTCTTGAGGAGTAAACTCCATATCTGAGCCTTATACGTCCCTAGATGTCACCCGGGTCACTCCAAACACTTGATTTGAAGTGTTTTCGCATTTTGGAGTGTATAATCATATCTAATTAGTGATTTAAAGTCTAATTAGATACATTTTCATATAATTTCATATTACATAGGAACCTCACGCGTTATCAAGCCTCGATCCGACGTTTAGCATCCTAGTCGACACCTTTCCTTGTCTGGTGAGTTCATACCCCTACCCTTTTTCAATGCTTTTCACTGTTTTCAGGGGGGATTACAAGCAAAGTACAAGTAATACTTGTACTCAAAACTATTTTATATGTGTTGTGTTTCATACTACATATGTTTTTAACACTGTTAATCACATCAGTTAACCGTTTGAACCTCCACATCTCATTATCATAGTATTTGTGAAAAATGTTATAAATTATTGTACTTTATATTTTCACAAATGGTTGCCATATTATAAACAGTTAAAAACATAATCTTTGAACTTTGAACAAGAAACTTAGTATATCGTTTTGTCCTCGGTAACACTCCATAGAGATACACGAGATTTGTTATTCCAATAAATTGGAGACACATCCTCGGAGAACACTCCACAGAGATACACGAGTGGAGGATCGCCCCTGTAACTAGAATATCTGGGATTTAGAGAGCATGACTTGAGTGTATAGATCTATACGGGGCTGACTACCCCGCACATGGCTGCTAGCTACAGCCGAACGGAAAGGTTCAAGGGTAACGAAAGTCATAAAGTAAGATGGACTACTTATTGCCATAATTAGTCTATTGTATGGTTATGGAACTCGCAATTTAGATAATAGAAATTTACATTTTTAGTAATAATGGATATAGTAAATTAATAACCATAAGAATTAGTTTACTATAATAATCAGGTTTTTCAGTATACATCTTTTACATTACATTTTGGGTTGGTGGACTAACATATACATTACACATTACATCTTTTAGATCTTTTACATTACATCTTTTACATCATTCACATTAGGAAAATATGGGATTTTCCTGGGATCACAGTTGAACATAACAAGATCAGTGTAACCTAACAAATAACCAAACATTCCTTTTAAGAAAAGATGGGATTTTCTTGCATCGTAAAATTTTTAGAAACCAAAAGGAATCTTGCTCATTTTCATAAAAACAAACCGCTTATGAACTCACCAGCTTTATGCTAATTTTTAAAATGCTTGTATTCTTAGGTTCTACTTAGATAGGTACCCCGCGCCCTTTTGCAGAAGACGGAGAGAATGGAAGTCACGTCTTTCTTTTGTTTAAACTTATGTATCTATGAAACTTGTACTACTTTACTTTTCAACTGATGTAATGAAAACTATGTAATGTAATGTTTTGTGTTTTACTTTGCTTACTATGTACAAATAGTTATGATATTCACATGAAGTCACCTCCACCCCGAGATGTTTCCGTCTTCGGTTTCGGGGTGTGACAGATTGGTATCAGAGCCCTTATTTATAGTGAACTGAGTATACCAAACCTTACATGGTATAAGACGATATATATTAAGGGGCCTAAGTGCTCTGAACTAAAAGTATACTTCAAAATATAGGTATTTTCAAAAACATACAAGTATACCTAACCACCAAGATCCGTAACTACAAGTAGAACAAAACATAAGTAAATGGGTGTTGTATGCTACGGTTAAACCTGGGCAGTTATGTAGCCGTGTCTAGGGTGAATATAGCCTGATCAACTAACATGTGCCTGGGAGTGACTGTGGTGTTCAGCATGCCTAAAACTTACCCAAATACCCCAAACAACAAGCAGTCGTCGTAGTGAATCATGAAATACTATGGTAGTATTTCTAGATCCAATTTTGTTGTAGAAAATTCTCATTCAAGCATTGCCCCTCGATCATTTCTTTAGTGATAGTTTATCTGCCTTGATAAGTCATTCCTACTTTATCGCTTAATAGAATTATATGTCTGTTATAAAGAGATACCCCTTGTATCATATCTCTTGATTTAATGTAGAGGACTTACCATCCCCTTTTCCCTAATCACTTTAGATCGAAATGTCTTCGAAGAAAGTATCCAGTTCAAGTAACAACAGCCCTCCGTCGCCACCTCCTTCTCGATTCGACCCAGTGATGTTCCAATTGGCTATTTCTACTGCAGTGACTGCCGTAGTGACATACTTCTGCCCCGATAGGTTCAGTGGACCAAGAAGTAACACCAGCCTCCAAAACCATGAAAATGTTCAGGAGCATCAATATGAAGGTGATAAGAGTAAAAGCCGAAATGGTCAGAGTTCCCAAGGACCCTCCAAGAGGCGCGAAACTGTGGCAGTTCAAGCTGTCACAACTCCTATCGTTGTGTCTACAGTTCAAGCTGCTGCTACTCCTGTTGCTGTGCCTATAGCTCAAGCACCTACCACTAGGTATGCGGGTAACCTCCCTTGGTGCAACAAGTGAAAATATCATCACCTCCCTTCCAGTCCATGTATAGAGGTGTTTTGCAAAAGATGTGGCAAAAGGGCCACACCGCTCACAACTGCAAAACACTAGTTCATCTAATCAATCAAGCTTCCGGATCGAGTACTGTTCGAGCCTGCTATGGTTGTGGAGTGATCGGGCATTTCAAGCGAAACTGCCCAAAAATAGCAACCAACAACAACATCAACAATGCCAAGATGGTTTTAGCTATAAAGCAAGAGGAAGCAACCGCATATCCTACCGCCACGGGTATATTTCTTCTCGACAATTCTTATGTGCGCATTCTTTTCGAATCTAGTGTGTGTCAACAAAGTTTTATTAGTCATTCATGCAAATATCTTCGTAAACATAGTACTCGTCTAATCACCAAAACATTTGTCGTCAATATGGTTACCAGTGAGAATGAGTGCACTAACGAGTTATCCCCAAGCTATATCCTTACATTGAGTAATCATTCTTTCCTCATTGATCTGATGTCAGTTTCGATAAAGAGCTTTGATGTTATCTTTGACATGTATCAGTTGAGTCCTGATCATATTGATACACTTTGTTACGAAAAACCTATTCGTCTCAATTTCCTCTCTAACCGGACCCTCATGAAATACAGTGTCAAGCTTGGCCCAAATCTTCGCATCATTTTCTGTATCAAAGCTCGAAAACTTCTACAAAAAGGAGTGTTAGATATTCCTAGTCCATGCAATAAGCGAGAAACAAGAAGTTAAACACCTCTAGAGCATCCCCGAAAACTATAATATTCCTGATATATTCCCGAAGAGCTCCCGAGAATTCCTTCCGAACATCAAGTGGAGTCTCGTATCGACTTAATCCCTGGATACTACCCCCGTAGCCAAATCTCCATACTATTTTTCCCCAGCAGAAATGAAGGAGTTATCCATTCGACTTAATGAGTTGATAGTCAAAACCGATATCCTCTTTCCCGAGTAGATGACTTCTTTGATAGAATTTAGGAGCTAGCTACTCCTCAAAGATAGACCTTAGGTCAAGACACCATCAGCTATATGTTCATGAGGATAATGCTTCCAAGATAGTATTCAAGACTCGATAGGATCACAAAGAGTTCGTATTGATATCCTTCGGTCAAACCATTTTCCCTTAGTCATGTAGTGAGCGATGAATACACACACGTGG